AACGACTCCTTCCCAGATGAGAGGCTGATGATGATGTACTTGGTGGAGAGTGTCACCCCTTGGTACTCCGATTTTGCGAACTATTTGGTGGGCCAGCAGCTGCCCAAGAGGATGACAACTCACGCCAAGAGGAAATTCTTCTCCGACCTAAAGTATTACTTCTAGGATGACCCTCATCTCTTCAGGATTGGAGCCAACGGGATCATCCGTTGCTGTGTTATGGAGAGTGAGATGGAGGGCATTCTATCTCACTGTCATGAAGGACCTACTGGCGGTCACCACCGAGGAAACCGCACAGCGAGGAAGGTGCTACAATCGGGCTTCTACTGGCCCACGCTTTTCAAGGACGCAGATGCCTTCGCACGCAGGTGCGACCGATCCCAGATGTCAGGTAACATCTCTGCCCGTCATGAGATGCCCAAGAATGTGTTCATAACTTGTGAAATTTTTGATGTCTAGGGTATCGACTTCATGGGCCCCTTCCTTCCATCATTTGGCAATACTTGTATCTTGGTTGTTGTTGACTACGTCTCTAGGTGGGCTGAGGCGCAAGCTTTGCCCACTAATGATGCTAGACGTGTTTGTGGTTTTCTGAAGCAACTATTCTCCCGGTTCAGGACACTTAAAGCCATCATAAGCGATCGAGGCACCCATTTCCAGGGCCAGTTTGATAAGTTATTGTCTCGCTATGGTGTGACTCATAAGGTGTCTGTGGCCTACCACCCTCAAACAAGTGGTCGGGAGCTCAAGTGTATCCTGGAAAAGACGGTGGATCAGTCCCGCAAGGATTGGTCCACCAAGCTCGATGATGCTCTTGGGGCATACCGCACTGCCTACAAGACACCCATAGGTACTTCACCGTACCGGCCTGTCTATGGAAAGGCATGTCATTTGCCCGTGGAGCAAGAGCACAAGGCCTTTTGGGCCCTTAAGCTACTCAACTTGGATGTTAGTGGAACTCGCGGACCCTTAGTTCCGCCATGGGCGTCCAGCTAAAAGACGATAAAGAAGCGCTTGTGGGGAGGCAACCACACCACGGTTTGCAATTCTTTTTCCCTTTTTCTGTGTTTTTGTGTCGTGTTGAGTCAGCTGCATGTCTGTGTTGAAGTTCGGTCGGGTATTTTTGGCTCACGACCTGGACCCCTTCTGCCTTCTGGGGCGAAAAAGGGCAAATCCCCGACCTTGACCCAAAAATACCCGATCGGGTATTTTTGGCTTAAGGCCGGGGATTACGCAGCCTTGGAACGATGCGTTTCAGGATCCCCAACCTTGACCCAAAAATACCTGACCGGGTATTTTTGGCTCAAGGCCAGGGGTTTCCATCACATGAAACGCGACGTTTTCCAAAACCCTCGGTCGTGGACTGAAAATACCCGACCGGGGATTTTTGCTATTTAAGCAAACCCCCTGTCATTTTCTCTCTCTACCCTCATTTTTTCCAAAATTTTCCCTCTCCTATTCTCAAAAACCTCTGCCCTCTCTCCTCCCTTGGTCGACCCGGCCACACTCCGCCGTCGCCGACCGTCGCCGCCGCCGGCCACCCTCCGCCGCCGCCACCTCGTCGCCGGCCACTTTCCCTGTGACTTTCTAGCGACTTTCCAGCCATTTTTCGGCGAGCCTTCCGGATCATTTTTGGCCCCCTTTTCGCGTCCCTCGCCCGTTTTTTGCGCCCTAGCTACAGTTCCACTTGAGTTTCCAAGTATGTTTCTTGTTAACTGCTATTTTTTTTCTGGAAAATCGAACTGTAGATTGTAGGACCGAGAACTGTGTTTGCCTGGTATGATTGAACTAGGATAGGGTGAGGGATGCCTTGAGTATGAATGGTTATGCATATGGTGTGTGTGCTGCCCGTGGATTGATTTGGTTGGTTTGCTTGATTCTTGTCGTGATTACGGTTGAGTTGCTTGCGATTAAACCGTTTATGCTTAAACTGTTAGCCTAGGTGGTCCTTAAGTGTGGGGGAAGTGATGAACCCATACTATTGGTCCTGACGAGTTTTGCTTGGCTCCACCATTGTTTTGTTGATTTTGCAGGATCACGTCACTCGACCATCCATTCGTGCAAGACCTGCGCCTGCACCCGGACTACGCGGACCAGTTCTGCCAGGTCACCCGCGGGAGACTAGAGCACCACCACCATTTGAAGTGGGCGTATTCGAGCAGCTCCACTGCATACAGGAGCTCTCCACCGCCATCAGCCACCGGGATTGGCGGACACTGCTGACGATCGAGGAGCCCACCTACACCGAGTTGGTGTGGGAGTTCTACACCACTTTCAAGTACCGCCAAGGCGGCCCAGGACTCCTATGCAGTTACTTTCAGGTTGGGTGGCCACCCACGGGAGCTGACCATTGACGGGTTGGCCTACGCCATGGGGATCGATACCACCCCTACTCCTACCACGAGGTCGAGGTCCCGAACCCAACAGACTGGAACCAGGATGAGTTCTACCGCCAAATAGCCAGGCGCGCCTATGGGTACGACTACTTCGATGCTGGCCAGACATCCATCCGCACCCTCAAGCCGCAGTGGCATATCCTGAATCTGCTGATCACCCGATCCATCGTCCCCAACGTCAGCGGCTCGCAAAAGACCCCGAAGCGGGTGCTCTACGCCATTACTCGATGGGCGACCAGGAGCATATGCTGCACTTGGGTTCTTTCGTGGCTACCACTTTCTCCCGGTGCCACGGGAAACCTAACCATCTCTACTGTGGTCCCCTGATCACCCATCTGGCGCGCCCCTTTGACATCAGCTTCTAGGGACTCATGGATTCTTCTGCACGAGGTTGCTCCGCCCCCCTCAGTCGGGACGTGCTCCACAATGCACTCCTCCAGACCACTAACGGCACCCGCTCTTGGGTGGATGGGCCTCAATTTGTTTACTCCGGTGGAGGTTAGTCGCCCGCTGGAGACTCAGATTGAGAGGGTCCGGAGACCTTTAGTCAAGATTTCAGAATGGTTAAGAATCTCCCGTAGTATAACTATCATTGAAACTGAACTTGGTAAATTACAATCCGGCTTAACTGCAGTCTAGGGGGAACCATATCCGGGTGACCTCTCTCGACTTGAAAACAACCTTTATACTTGCTTGCTTGTTTGCTTATTTGGACATTCACTAAAGTTTCACTGCTAAATAATAAGAACTCACGGAGTAGTCATCACATCTAGGACCCGGGTTGACATTAAAACCCAAACCCGCTATACTACGCTTTAGGAGGTGGTTACACTTGGCCATTTTCTAGAGTGACGGTAGGAGCGAGTCACTCGTGGTCAGCTTAGAGATCACAGTCACTAGACCTTCATAATATCCAGTAGCCCGTGATGTTGACTAATGAAATGGTGTGTTTTGCGCCAAGATCAAAATCAGGCCTTCGACATCACAGGTGTGATACCTGACTGTTAAAGCCGCCCGCTTTGTTTATGTAAAGGAGAGAAAGTTGAAACCTAAAGAAGAGTTCGATAGTGAGATTTAGGTCATCTTCTTTAAATAGAGAGAAAAAGTGGCGAGCTAAGAAAAGGAACAAGAAGGTTTCGGCTTACCCAAGGTCAGAGAGATTTTTTCTCCAAAGGGTTATCCAAGAAACTAGAAAGAAGTGAATCCTCTCCCAATAGATTTTTCTTTCATCTCTGTGGTATTTCCCTTCCTAGCTTTGGAGTTTTTTCTCCTTTTCACTTCGATATTGGAAACCCTAGTCTAGGATATGTTAGAGTGTAAAATTTGAAATCTTTGTGTGATGAATCTGTGATTAATATAAAGTTTGAGATATTTTTCATGATACTTGGGTGTTTTTTTTATTATATCTCAATGGTGTGTCAATTTGACATAGGAGGAGGAAATCCCCTCATAGCCCACATCTTAACAAACCTCAAACATCAAATTAGCGCCATGACTACATCGTGATTGGTTTCTTTTCGTCGTTCCATATTAACTTTCGAGGGATTGGCTTTAGCAATCCTTAGTCGATTAACGAAGAGAGGTAGGTTTTCTAGATTTTCGTGGCATTCCTTAGTTGATTGCAATGCAGTCAAAAACGTGATTCTACCTAGAAGAGGTAACTGGGTAAAATGTACAGCGTAGATTCAAAGCGTAAAAGTGTAAGTCATTTATGCATCCTATAAAATAGGTAAAATCTGCAAAGTACGACACATACAATATAAACTATGAGTATAAATTTTAGATTAGTCAATAACTGCCAACAATAGGTCATAACTCATATCATCTTAATTTCATAATTCATAAACATAGATTATATGTAGCTCACGAACAACTTTAAGAATCCAAATTCCGACAAGTTGGTTTAAGTTCATATAATGAAAGGGCTAATACCACTACAACACCCGAACTATTCCAAAAATGACACTTGTGTCCTATTGTTTTCAATATTCCATATGTGTCCTCAACTATTTTTCTGTTAACGTTGACTTGTTTTGACCGTTAATTTATAACAGAAAGTCTAGTCAGTGTTGATGTGTCACATGACGTGGAATTTTCATTTATTTTTTATTTTATAAAATAATGAAAATAAAAAACAATGAAAAAAATAAAAACTTTCCATCTCCACCATTCATCCCCTCGACCCTTTCTCCCTGTTCACCCTTCCCCGCATCTGCTGCTACTCCGCCAAACAACAACAGCAGCACCATGCTCCAACAATCATCTCCGATTTCTTGACCGGATGGACTCTCTTCCTCACCCACGAGCGAGTTATGATGTGAGATGCAGATGCCCACAATGAATCATCGGCAAAGCTCGACGAATCCAGGTCGTACGAGGGTTGATTTTTTTTGGTTTCTAGGTTGTTCTATCGCTAGTATTCAAGGCGGCGAATCTGGGTTCATAATAAGCGAGGTCGCCGATATGGGTGGTTCCTCGCCAGTGCGAGGGATTTGGGTTCCTCCATTGATTGGGCTACCCATACGCAACGCTAATGAAGAAGCTTACATCGCGCATCGATTGGAGAAGTTGGAGGAGGATTGGACCCCAGGAAATCTGGATCTGATGATTGATTATGATTCCCTTCGCTTATGTTTTTTTCTGGGTCTGTGGGTTTCATATACGATGAGGGAAGAATTTTGTTCGTCCAAAGCAGGTGAATCGTGCGTAGGCGATGACGATGAAGAGCGGCGACAGTTTTGTGGGTGTGAATCTGTTGTGGGCGGATGTTTTTTCTACCGATCCCGTTTGAATCGTACCCATAGAACCATAGAGATTCTGGGTTATAGGTTCAAGTCAAGGAGGAAGATTGGTGGAGGGATAACATAGATTATGGGTTGTTAGGGTTGGCCATGGCTGAGACTTTGACGGTGGCGATGATTATTTGGGACGACGACGAATGAGATGAGAAATAGAGAAGGGCAACACAGAGGTGTCGGTGATAAGGAGCAGAAGAAACTTGACGGTGGTTTTGATCGAGTGTTTTGGCAGAAGAAAATCGAGAAAGATGCTTCGCCGTTCCCGGAAGAAGACGAAGAGCAAGAGCATTTTATTATTATTGAAATTACATATTTTTTAAATTTTTAATTTCTTTATGTTTAGTTGTTATTTGATTTAAATTAAAAATGTGAGGTGTCAATGACTTGGCATTGCCACGTCAGCAAAAGTCAATGTTAAGTTGACCACCGTTTGGTCAACCGTTATCTTTAACGGTCAACAAAATTGTCAGGATACAAATGGCATAAAGTATAATAGTTCAGGACACAGATGGAATATTGGAAACAATAGGACACAAGTGGAATTTTCCGGATAGTTCGGGTTTTGTAGTGGTATTAGCCCTATAATGAAACTGTCTTTAAGAATCCAAATTCCGACAAGTTGGTTTAAATCATTGCCTTCAACGTTTGCATCCAAGTCATCATTACCATCATTATCATCATCGTCTTCATCATCATAATCACCATCATCACCACCAGTCAATATCATTACAATTCTTACGCCATCCACTGTATCTTCTTTTTGGTCTTTTCTTCAACTAGTCAGACTTGATCTTTCCACTAAATAGACTCAATTACCCATTATCTTATCACTATTATTCATTCATGAAGTCTTTTCTCCTTTGTTTTATTGTAAAAAGAAAAAATTTGTTTGTCATCATTACCCCGTAGTAACATGGGGTGGGGCATGAGAATGAGGTACCCGCCCCGCCCCGAACCATTGCCATCACTAACTAGGGGGAACAATATTCGGATGAATCCTTCTCAAGTAGAATCCATCACAACTTTACTTTGCTTGCTTGTTTGCAATTGTAGTTTCTTAGATTTCACCACAAACCATTTGCTAGATAATATATAAAAAGATGAAGTAGGGATAAATAGACCGTCCCAGGGTGATAATTAAGCACTTGTCCTATCATGCACCCGGTCGTTGAGGGAGGCAAGAGAAAGATTGGCAGTTTGGGACAACCACTAGTTGCTCCTAAAGGTGAAGTAGAAGAAGAAGTTGTTTTTAAGAGGAGTTTGGAGTTGATAGCCTTGAGATGACGGAATAGAACCTCCAAGGATATGGTGAATCAAGGACAAGAGCTATTAGTAATTAGATGGCACCGCGAGCGGCAGATATCCAATTAAGCATCTTGCATCCGCCCGTGGCGACCAACAACTTTGAGATAAAGTCTGGCCGCATCAATGACAAATGCAGCATTGTCATCATATCATATTTTCATACCGTGGTTGCGCTTGAGTTCCTTACAAGTACGTACAACTCTGATCACTTCGGATTTTTCTAAAGGTGAATTTGGTATTGCATCTTTGATAACAACAACTATGATTCAAAACAACATACAATTTAATGGACTTCCGGATGAATCTCCACTGGAGCATGTCAAGAGATTCCTCGAGTTAGTAGGAGGCTTGAAGATCAATGGAGTGCTCGACAAGGGTACATGGGAAAGGTATATAGATCATTTTCCTTAGTGTCCACACAAGGGTTTGGACTGCAGTTCCATATCAAGACCTTCTACAACGGTCTCCTTCAAGAAGATTAGATTCTCATTGATTCATTGTGTCAAGTGAACATGCTCAACAAAACTCCACCGGAGATGACAACATTATTTAAAGATATGGTTGCAAAAGGCTATGATTGGGGGTTCACAAGGCGTGGGAGAGGGACATGAGAAAGAGAAGTAAAGTCCACCAAAGTGAGCCCTCCACTTGTGTCAAAGATTGATGAGTTGATCACGACAATCTTGCATGATATGAAGCAAGGGAAGAAGCCTGTTATGGTATGTGATTGGTGCTCAAGTCTAAACAATGAAGTTGAATAGTGTCAACTTATGAGGGAAGCGATCACTCCGGAAGAGCAAGTGAACTTCATATCTAATGTTGGGTGGGGGGGGGGGGGGGGTTCAACCTTAACAAGAATCCCTTTAGCAATACATACAATCCGGGGTCTCACAATAACACTAACTTTGGATGGTCATCACCAACCAATCTTAGGCCACTCGGTTACCAAGGACCAACTAGCAGTTATACACCAAGACCTCCCTTCATTGAACAAAGGCCACAATTTCAATCCTTGAACTTATAACAACAACAATTTCAACCACAAGTTGTGCAAGGGTTACAACAACTACAACCGGACAAGGTTTCCAAACTAGAAGACCTAGTCACCACCTTTGTGAGTACTAGTTCTCAAAAGCTTGAGAAGATTGAAAATTTTATGGAAGTTGCAACAAAAAATTTCACTATGGTTGAGGCGGGTCTAAGAAGCCATCAAGCGAGTATACAAAATTTGAAGACTCAAATCGACATCTTTCTAGGATCCTCACCAAGAGACTTCATGGAGCTTTATTGTCCAAACCGTTGCCAACCATAATGATCCAAGAGAAGGGTGAATACTATTCTAATAAGGAGAGGGAAGCTGATGCAAGAGGTTGCGACCAAAGAGACAGATAAAGAAGATGAAGCCCCTCCAAAGGTCAACGAACAAGTACTTTTTGAAGGAGAGGGTGAAGGGGCTAAGAAGGAAACGTTGATGCCACCCCTTGTGGCTAATTACAAGTCTCCGCTCCCTTTACCTACAAGGTTCCACAAAGATTCTTTTGGAGGCATAATGCGGCAAATTCATGGAGATGCTCAACAAGCGTAATGTCATGATTCCTTTCTTGGAAGTGATGGTACATATGCCGAGGTATGCAAAGTTTATCAAATGCCTACTTGAAAAGAAGCGTAAGTTTGAAGAACTCACCTAAGTCACTCTAATCGAGGAGTGCTTGGCCATCATCCAGAACAAGTTGTGCGAAAAGCAACAGGATCCATGTAGCTTCATTGTCTACCTTTTCATTGGAACATGTCATATAGAAAAATCCTTCGGGGATTTAGGAGCCAGTATAAATGTCATGCCATATAAGCTTTACAAGAAGATAGACCTAGGAGAAATAAAAAAAAAAACACTACGTTGATTGTTACTTTAGCTCACCGTACTATGAATAGTCCTAGAGGCATTTTGGAGGACGTGCTAGTATGGTTGGGAACTTTCTACTATACAATAGATTTCATTTTCCTTGATATTAGTGAGGATGTGGATACGCCCCTTCCTTGGCACCGCCAAGGCTCTAATCAATGTAAACGAGGGAACATTAATCTTGAGAGATGGTGAGTAGAAAATCACTTTTACGATTGATCCTAAGGGTAACGTAGATAATGTTAACGGTATAGAGTCGAATGGTGTGTTGGTTAGTGGTGGTGAGCCTCCCAAGGCAAACACCACTAGTGCTCCTTGTGTTTCTGGCAATGTGAAGCAGGATCTTAAGGTGGGTATTGAACTCAAAGTAAGGACAAGAAGGTGTGGTGGGAGAAAATGAACCGTGTTATGGCCCAAAGGAAGGCAAAGGGCAAGGCAAAGGCAAGCGGCCAAGATGGCCACCTTTCAAAAGAAGAGATTAGAGGTGCCAACCCTCTCTCCGAGAATGTGTCTAATCCACTCTTGGAGGCCTCATGCTCACAAGCATGATGATCCAAACCATCTAGCTAAGGACGTAAAACAAGCGCTTCTTGGGAGGAAACCCAGCGTTGGTTTGTATTTCTTTTCCTTATTTTTCTCTTTTTGTTTGAGTGTTTGAGTCAAATGGGTGAGTTTTGAACAATCACCGTGCCATGGTTTATTTGTTTGAATGATTGAATGTGTCGTGTTTGAGTTAGAGGCACGGTTGAATCGATTGCGTATTGAGAATTGTGAAATTGCCCTGTTTTGTTGCTTATCAAGGTCACCGTGAGATTATCAAGGTCGCCTTACCGTGATAATTTTCCCCCAACCGTGATGTTGACACGGTAGTTTCACGATTTTCAAGCATCACGTCCAGTGTGAGATTATCACGGGAAACTGCCCATGATATTTAACCTACCGTGATGTCGAGACCCAAAACTCACCATTTTTGGTTGAGATCTCGTTCTGCGAGTTATTATCACGATCATGCGACCATGATAATTGACCCGCGCATGTGATCTCAACCCTCGGGATATATAAATAGCTTGTGATCTCTTCCCCTTCACGAGGCATCAGCCGCCGGAATCCTGTGAATTTATCTAAAAAAAGTCTCCTCTGATGATTTTTCAACGATCTAATCTACTTCCATCCATCCAAACTCAAAACCAAGCACATACCCAGACTCCCCAGGCCTAGGCTCTCCTTCCCTGCAAGTTTGGGGGGTTTGGCTCGCTTTTTTTGCCAGAAGTTGCTCCCCTTCTCCTCACCTTCCTCGTCGATCCTAATTGAGTCTCCAGTTGTGTTACTATCTTTAACTTACTTAATTTTGGAGATCTGATCTAGGATTCTTCGATTGAGGAGATTTCGGAATTTTGCTTGAACGATGGAATTGATGATTGATGAGGTGTTGAATGTTGTTAAAGTCTTAGATGGAATTCTTAGGTCTTGGTGGGCTTGATTTTGCATTTTTTGACGATTGAATTGAGGAATGCCCACTAAGTGTTTGTTTACTTTTCAATCCTTGATACACTTTCATGCATAGTGAACGATGGTTGTCGAGGCATGATCTAGGGGGTCGTTTGGAAGTTGCAATTGTTAAATAGATGTATTATTGTGAGTGCATGTATAATATTATGCATGTATTGTCGAATTAGAAGCATTGTAGAATACAAGTATTGGTATGTGCGATTGTGTATGTCACATCAGCTAAAAACTGAGACAAAACAATCTCAACTCAACAATCATAGCTAAAAGTTGAGATATAACAATCACTCATTTTGAGTGATAGTTTCAGTCACATCACAGAAACAATCCATGTACTGTTTCTGCTAAAAAAAAAGATG